GTTCAAATAAGCCCAAGATAGGCTCAAATAAACCCAAGATGGGTTCAATAAACCCAATACAGGTTCAAATAAACCCAAGATGGGTTCAGTCGAACTCAAGACAGGCTCAAATGAACCAAGATGGGTTCATGTGAACCCAAGGCATGTTCATTTGAACTCAAGATAGGTTTATTTGAACCAAGACAAGTTCATTTAAACCAAGACGGGTTCATTTGAACCTGAGATGAGTTCATTTGAACTCAAGACGGGTTCATTTGAGCCCAAGACAGGGCTATTTGAGCCCAATTTGGGTTCGTTTGAGCCCAATTCAGGTTCATTTGAGCCAATTCGGGTTCGTTTGAGCCTAATCCGGGTTCTTTTGAACCCAATTCGGGTTCATTTGAACCCAATTCGGGTTTGTTTGAGGTCAATTCGGGTTTGTTTGAGGTTAATTCGGGCCCAATTCAGGTTCATTTGAACCCAATTCAGGTTCATTTGAGCCCAATTCGGGTTTGATTGAACCAATTCAGGTTCAATATAAACCCACTTTGGGTTCGTTTGAACCCAATTTGAACACACTTCGGGTTCATTTGAACCCAATTTGGGTTCATTTAGACTTAAACTAAAAACAAAAAAAAAACATAAACATGAACCTGGGGCAATGCCTGGGTTCTAACAGCTAATTTAGTTAAATCTAAGAATTAAAAAAAACATTAGAACCTCGAACCTCGGCAACGCCAGATCCTAAGAGCTAATATAATTAAAAATCTAAGAATTAAAAAAACATTAGAACCTCGAACCCGGGCAACGCTGGGTCCTAAGAGCTAATATAATTAAAAATCTAAGAATTAAAAATACATTAGAACCTTGAACCCAGGAAATGCTGGGTCCTAAGAGCTAATACAGTAAATTAAAAACTTAAAAATTAGAAAAATATTAGAACCTCGAACCTGGGCAACGCCGGGTCCTAAGAGCTAATATAATTAAAAACCCAAGAATTAAAAAAATATTAGAACCTCGAACCTGGGCAATGCCGGGTCCTAAGAGCTAACATAATTAAAAACCTAAGAATTAGAATAACATTAAAACCTCAAACCCGGGCAACGCCGGGTCCTAAGAGCTAGTCGTTTCATTATTATCCATTTTCATAAGAATTTGTCCAATGATCGACCATCACACGGAACGGAAATCTTCAAAATTTCTCAAATTTACGACTTTTTTTGTGAATAAATCCAAATATCTTGCTTACAAATAAAAATTTCAAAGATTCCTCTTTTATTTTCGCTTTTCCCAGTAAAATATCTAGTAATACATAGAAAATTATTGCTAGTTTGGCCAAATAACATTGAGAATTCCAGTCGTTTTTTTTGTTAGGCATAAAAAGAACAAATTCTCAATGTTATTTGGCCAAACTAGCAATAATTTCCTACGCATTAGTAGATGTTTTACTGGGAAAAGCAAAAATAAAAGAGGAATCTTTGAAATTTTTATTTGTGAGCAAGATGTTTGGATTTATTCACAAAAAAAGTCATAAATTTTGAAGATTTCCGTGTGATAGTCGATTAATTTGAAAAGCGTAATAATATATTAAGTCGTCATAAAAATTATAATATTTTTCCATAAAACTTGATCTGGTTTTAGTGTGACTACGTTGCGCAGCTACCTAATAGAAGCATTGAATTTCGAAGATAATTATTGCATATATTTGTTTGTATTTATACTGTACAACATTTTTATGCTAAAGATGAAATTTATTTTGTTCCACACATACTAAAGAGATGCCTATTGTCACGAAACTTATATGTATTCGAATTTGATCCCGTGATTATATTTATGATCCTTTGATTCTGTGATTACAGTACTTGATCTTGAATCCAGTTCGAACTTCTTTTATCTTTCGACTCTTTCGAATCTTAAATAATAATACCTTATAAAATTGTTCAAATCGAAACAAATAATGATATAATAAAATTTTTAAAATGTCTTTTTTTTAAATTTTATTAGAATTAAATTAAAGCTATTAATCGCCAAAATAGATGTCTAAAAAGAGCTACCCAAATTTTAATTTACATTTTAATCAATATTAACAAAACTTATCACCTATACTGAGCAAAGTCAGGCTTCTTTCTTTAATGATACATATGAATTTACTAATATAATTACTGATGAAGCACCAAAACAACCTAATTATAATCTATGCAAAGTAATATCAAACAACAGCCATTACGTGCTCTCATTAAAAACTGAAATGGTTTATTCTAATTTATCTTTTAAAACAGATAAATCAGAGATTGTTAATGATTTAAGCTGTAAATGAAGCGAGTCAATTGCTTCTTGACCAGTTGATTCTAATGCTGAATAATCATTGTTTTCAGATTTTTGCTGTATAAATTAAGAGTAAAATATATTTATATTTAGAAAATCGTTAAGCATAATAAAATTTTCAGATTATAAATCTATATAATAATTACCATAAAGTTTATAGGTTTATTGTCCTATGAAATATATTAGCAAATTAATATACGTTCAATTATCATCAAAATAGAAAAATAAGATATACATGTAAACTTACTATACTTAAACCACTTTTTTCATTATTGAAACTCGTTGATATTCTATGCCTTGGAGTATTATGTTCTATAGTAATACCACTTCCTAAATTATTGCTATCTAAAATTCTGAAATTTAATTTCCTAACTACATCATCTTCAACATTTCTTTTTAGTTTGTTTTGCAAACAATGATTTATTAGTTTTCTTGGAGTAATAGGTTTAAATATGCTGATAGTTTGACCTCCAATCACTTGAATTAATTTTTTTACTAATGTCCTTCCATTGGTGTTTGAAAATGCCATGAGAATAATTAATAAGTCGTCACCATGTATTTCTCTTAATTCTAATGCAACTTTAGCAATTTCATCTGCGTTGTTTTCATCAAGATTGATTAATATTACAGTATGAAGTGCCTGATTGTGTAAAGCTTTATGATATCTTGTCATTCGAATCCTTTGGTCACATTTATCAAACGATTCAACCTTTATACTATTTTTAAAAGTATGTGATATTGCATTCTTTGCGATTTCAAGAGGGTGAATTAATACAATGCGTTTAAAAATATGATTAATCGACTCAGTATAATAATTTGAAGTTTTTTGAGTAGCTGATGTTGGTGTTATTTCAACATTCCATGTAAACCAAAATTTACTTCCTTTTCCAAATTGACTTTCTACTCCTATTTTGCCTCCATTAATTTCTACTAGCTGCTTACATAGCTTTAGGCCAAATCCTGTGCCATCTTGTTTGGCTTTTGACGTCTTAGTATTATTTTTCCAAATATATTTTTGAAATTCAGTGCAAATCCTGTATATATATTTGTTGCATAATTATATATTGCAAAATGTCAGGCATATTGCAAAAAAAAATTGTATAATATAACATAAATTATTATGATTAACTTACCCAAACCCAGTATCACTTGATTCAACTAATAACTCTATTTTTTTAACATTATCTGTAAAATGCTGTGACTTTAAAGAAACTTTCAGTACAACTCCACCTTTTTCAGTATGTTTTATTCTTAATTAACAAAATAATTTAGGATGTTTAATAGTTTATACTATAATATAAAAATAATAATTAATATGAGCTGCCGTCAATAGAAATGAGGCGGATTAACATTGTTTTTCAAAAAAAATAATACATTAACTTTCTCAGTTTCCATCTCGATGAATTCTTTAGAGTATGAAATCATCAAGATAGCTTCAAATTTCACCGAAATATGAGTTGTGAAATTTTAAGATATTAATTTTTTAAAAAATTATTTCTATTAATGGCAGCCCAAGTGTGACTTGTGAAAAAGAACTTTGCTTACGCGTTTGATAATAAATTCATTAATATTTGTTTTAATCTGTATTAAATGAAAATTTAAAATATTTAATTATTTCCTTTTTTTATTTTATTTTATAAAAATAATTACCTTTCAGGATCGCTCATAACTTTTCTTGGTAAAGTATCTAGTTCGTAACTTAAAATCAATTCTATTTGTTTATTTCCAGCTTTTTCATCAAAGATTTCAATTGTACTTTCAAATAAATTTAATAAATCAAAAGATTTGTACTCCAACATATTTTTATGTTCATCAAATTTTACTTCGTTAATCATATTGTTAACCGTAGATAATACAGAATCAGAAGCGTTTACCATGATTTTAATCAAATCTTTTTGCCGATCATTTAAATTTTCATCTTCAAAGGAAGAAAGAACGCTTATAATTGCTCCCAACGGAGTTCGTAATTCTAAATGTAAAAAATTAAACAATATTTATAGAATAAAACAAAGAAAGAGAAATAATAAAAAATAATCATACCATGAGATACGTTAGCTAATATTAGATTCTTTTTATTGTTAGCAGTTTTAATAGATTCTATTCGCGATTCCTCAATCAATTTTTCTTTAACTAATCGTGCATAATTAATAGCTACGTCTATTTGATCTGCTAATTGTTGAAATAAATTAATCTCCAAATCATGCCAAATAGAATTTGGTGGTCTATGTGCCTTTATCCATCCCCAATAACCATCATTAATTTTTATCCTCACAGATAACATAGATGTTTGTTTACCAAAGTCAATACAATATGTATTTGGCAAAACATTTACTTTAAAGCTTTCATAATCGTCATATTCTAAACATTTCTGTTGGCAAGTCTTAATTTTCGAATGCTCAAATACCGTGAGATTTTTATATTTACCAGTACTATTAAAAATTTTTTAATAACATGATATTAGATTATTAGTATGTCTTTAACAATACATAAATATGGTAACATACCTCTTTGCATTTAAACCTTCAGATAAAGCAATTATTGTATGTCCTCTAAATGTTAGATTTTTATTTTCACTATTATAATTATTCGATGGTTCACATGAAATAACAAATACCCTATCACATTGTAATATTTTATGAATATCCTTTACAACATTTGCAAAAGTTTCTTTTAAATCTAATCCAGTAAAAATATTATCTGAAATTGAAAGTAATAATTGGTTTATCTCTTCTTCCTTACATTGTTGAGTTATTAACTGCTGACGAAGTTGAGAGAGATTGATATTAGTACGTATACGAGCTATTAATTCTCGAGAACTAAAGGGTTTTATTATGTAGTCATCCGCTCCATAATCTAATCCTGAATAAAATTAAATGATAAAAATTTTTTGAGATTTCTAGACAACGATACTGTAATATCATAAAATAAATTATTTATACCAGAAACTTCATATGCTCTTGCAGTTAATAAAATAAACGGAATTAATCGAGTTTTAATATTAGATCTTACTATCTTTAATAGTTCATAACCATTTGTATTTGGCATCATAACATCTATTAATATAATCAATTAATTAAATTAATACTTTTTTTTATTATGTTATTGTTAAGCATAAAAATTCGCTTACCACTAAGAATTAAATCAGGAGGTTTAGAAAACGTTGTTAAAATTGTCATAGCATCACGACCATCATGAGCGCAATAAACATCAAACTCTTTTTTCAATAATTTCTTCAAATAATTTCTATAAAATTTTTATATAATTAGAAATAATTAATTTTATAATTATTTTTAACAGATGTAAAATTTATTACCTCATATCTGCATTATCTTCAACAAGCAAAATTTTATGTCTTGTAGTCTCAGAAAGTATAATTTTATTATATATTAATACTTTATTATCATCTACTGATTTTGAATCTAATTTATTTTCATTTTTAGTTATAGGTGAATTACTTTGAATCCATTGTAAATTTTCTTCTAAGTATAATTGCTTTTTAGTAAATAATTGTTCATGACTTGATTCATTTGATTTTCTATTATGACATACTTGATCTTTTGGTAAATGTTTATATCCTGTTAAAAATTTACATTTGAATGTTGTTCCTTGACCTACTTTTGAGGTCACAGTGATATCACCACCATGAAATGTAATAAGTTGTTTTACTAGAGCTAGACCAATTCCAGTACCTTCATAACTACGTGATTGTTGATTATTTACACGATAAAATCTTTGAAATATATTTGTAAGATTAATTTCTGAAATTCCAACACCTAAATTAAAAAAAAATATAAAGAATATATAAGTTTGTTGATTCGTATAATTTCAAGCCTAAATAAAGCAGTACTGTTAACCTGTATCTGATACTTCAAGAATTATTTCGTTTTTGTGTTCAATATATAAACGAACACGAACTTGTCCACTCCAAGTATTTTTGAATGCATTTGAACCTTTAAAAATTATTTCAAAGTATTAGAAATTTTTTCAATAAAAAAATAGAAAATATCATATCATATAATTATAAATTTTTCATGCATACAAAGGTTATAAACAATTGCTTCAAACATTTCATGATCTAAATAAACATTGTGTTCTAAAGCTTTTTTAAATTCATTTGGAATATCTATAATGTAATCTAAACCTAATTTTTGAGCTATAATATTGAAATTCGCAGCTAATTCTTGAGTAAATTTTGCTATATCAGTTTCACGAAATTGTGCCTCAAAACGACCGGATTCAATATTTGAAACCTGTAAAATAATAATGTTAGATTTATGAAGTGTTTATTATCTCAATTTTAATAATTTTTTAAAGAATAAATAACTTACTTGAAGTAAATTACTAACTAGTTTGAGTAATCTACGAGTGTTACGCTGAATAGTTTGGAGATGAGAATGTATAATTGATTCTCGCACACATAAACTAATAGCCTCCTCAAGTGGACAAAGTGTTAATGTTAACGGATCTGGAATTATTAAAATAGAAACACTTTAAGAATATACTTTAAGAGTAATACACTATGTAATGTAATTAAGATAATTGATAAATACTGAGTAGTTCATGACTAATATTTTGAAAAAATTTGATATTTTGTCGGTTTAATTCAGCCAACGTTTCTGAATGCTTTTTTTCCTCTTTTCTTGATATACAGCGCGTTAATGCTAAACCAAAGTGATTCACAACTAACTAAGTAAATAAATAACCAAGTAATAAATAAAATAAATCAATAAAGCATTAATATTAGAAGTTTAAATTTAGTAAATTTAAAGCTATTTAATCTTACGTCAAATAATTTCATATATTCATCCTCAAGTGGACGGCATGGATTAATGCCACAGATAAGTATAGCTGATAAGATTCGATTACCACCATATAAAGCTTTAATTGGAAATAGTATTGCATAGGAACCATCTTTTAAGCAAACTTTTACTGGTTTATCCTCTTTCACCACGAGATAGATAGGCCAAGATTTACATTTTAAAAATAGTTGAGTAGACGTTGTTGGCCATCTTACGCCTACATATTCGTCATAATCTTCATCAGCATTTTTACTTAGATCAACTGTTTCAGGTGTCTCCAATAATTTATCATACATATATTCATTGCACTTATTAAATGTGGTAGCTACTAAACGAGCAGTATGAGGTTGAAAACCGGAAGATAATTTATTATTATCAACAAGATAAATCAAAGCGAAAGGAAAATCTCTATCGTTTTCACGTAATGTTGAAACCATAATCTTGCATGCGCTTCTAAGGATTCAACGTTCTTAAAAGATACTTTATTAAATTATACACAATTAATATACATTGAAGTCTATATTGCAAATCTTTTGTCTATTAGTAAAAAAATAAAAATAAATTTACTAACCATTAAGCCTATCTCCCATGTTATTAAGAGATTTCAGCCTTCGAATTTCTAAAACTGTGTCAGTTGTTTCAAAGGCTATACTAAGCAAAGCACAAAATGAGCCATCCTTTTTAAAAATTGGGCTCAATCCAAAATTAAAGTAAGTTTCTTCAATATAACCATCATTATAAAGTGGAATACATTGATAATAATGAAAAAACCCTTTCCCAGTTGACTTTACTCTTAGATTTAATTATAATAATATAAATAATGATAAATTAAATGATTATAATAACATGAATACAAATTACATTGCTAACTTACCGTTCATAACAATATTTTATAAAATCATAATATTCAGGATAAGATTCAATTATTGGTCTTCCCATTGCTATTCAATATATAAATATTAAATAATGAGAAATTTTACGATTTACGATCAAATTTTAACGCTTTTAATTTATTAGAAATATATTATACGATATAGAATAACTAACCGTATGGATGTTGCGATTCTTGTTTTTTTCTCTCATGAAATAACACATGCGCTATTATTCATTTGCGTAATCAATTAAATAAGATTCAAATAAATACAATAAAAAAAAACAACCAAAAAAAAAGTAAAGTAAAATTTACCTTGATTATATATCATAATAAGATCAGAACCGCAGTGAATACGAGTAGGATACATTGATTGACAACAAAAATCCTAGTAAAAATTTATCATACATGTCATATAAATTTTTATGCAAACCTCCATGTAAAAATTGATTAAATAAAATCAACAAACAATAATTCTGCAACTGTCAAGTTACCACAGCATTCCTAAATAAAGGATCCCATGAATCAAGGGGGCCAAGAGGTGTTAATGACCAGTCATAACTCTTAATTAAATCTATCACTTTTATTTTATTATTATTATTGTTGTTACGATTGTTTATTGGCATAGTGGCAATTAAATTTATACAAAAAATGATTGATTCAGAGAAAGAACGTACGTAAATTATAAAATTTGGCCTTTTATAAACTTCAAATAATTGATTACATAACTTATACTGATGCACAATATGCAATATATTATTGGTTATTAGACGTACCAAAGGTAAATTGCGTTATAGAACATAATTATAAGTTAAAATTATTTAATAAGTAGGATTTTCGATGTTATTTTAAATTTCTAAAAAGCATCTTTTCTTTTAATAATAATGTTACAGCATAAACAGAGTATCATTGTTCTATAGTAAGGATTATAGTAAGGATTATAGTAATGATCGTTATTTATAATACATCAAACTTTAATTAAATCACTTTCTTAGATGCTTTTTTATACTTAGTCTTGATATAAAAAAAGTTGATTCGCTTAAATTGTTAATATTACTAAAATAGTTATTAGTTAAAAGGATAATAGGTTAGACTAAATTTACTTACCAGTTAGGCTATTTTAGGAAATATATATTAACGCCCCACGATTATTAATCATCACAGATCGTCATGCATGGATCATATTGTGTCAAGTGTTACCGTTATCTGATTATGTATGTCGTTGAGATATAGTATCTTCTGTATTTCATGCCGTGCATATAAATTTTATCCATTCATCAATTCAAAGAAAAGGTTTATTGGTACTGTTTCTGAAAGATCCCAGAAATACTAGAATCAAATTCATACAAATCCAAATCAATGCTGGAATTAAATTTTACATTAATTTTATGTTGCTCACAGAAACAACTTTTGACCCTGTTTCGTATTAGTCATAATAAAAGATTGTTTTTAAGACCTGCTTTTATATACTATTTAGAGGTTTAAAAATGTTAGAGATTTACTTATAACTTTTTAATTAAATTTCTAAATATATAAATTTATTAATTTTCAAAGGAGTATGAACGATTATTTCCATATGTTTACGTGAAAAAATCAGATAATTCAGCTTAGTACAAATTAAGAATCTAATAATAACATGTCTTGAAACCCAAAAATCAGGATGAGTATCGTGAATTTCCACTTTAGAGTGATTCGGAATTAGTAAGTTTATTTTGTTCGTTCGGATTAATAAAATTTTGAGTTTTGATTAGTTAACAGTTAATGAAATCGGATAATCTCATTATGTACAAGTCTTCTAAATGTAATTCGTGCCGACATTAATCCGATTCTGCAAAAATTCCTATTTATTTTCGAAACTAATTAATTCTAAATCAATTATTATATTGTAATCTGCATCTGCGCATCTTTTGGAGTGTCTAATTACAAACACAGTGCAGGTGTATAGTGAAAATCATTAATCAAATTTTTTTATAATTAGCGGTGGCATAGTATTAGTGTAAATGGTAACAACATATAAAATTTAGATTGCAATAACTCTTGAACAGGCAAATAGAATTATAATTATCTGTTTCATTTTAGTGTATTTTTTAAATAGCATCTTTTTTTAAATTATTTTTATTGTTTGAAGCATAGCGGAGAATCCAATTTCATACAAAATAGTCGTTTTTTGATATAATTTTCTAATAAAAAAAAAAAAATCAAAACCGTAACTATCCTTTGTCGATCATTATTGCATAATACAATACGTGTAAAGAAATTTTAAAATTGCGCTTTTGATGTTTTTATTAAAAGATATCAAAAACGACAATTTGCATGAAGTTGAGTCCACCGCTATGTACAATAAAAATAAATAAATAAATAATAAAAGGCTTTGTTACTTTAAAGAATACACTAAAACGAAACTCACAAATGTAAATTTATTTGTGTGGGTTTGCTTGTTCAAAAGTTATTGCAATCTAAATTTTATATGTTTTTACTATAAAAAATTTATTAATGATTTTCACTATACACCTGCACTATGTTTGTAATTAGATATGCATTAAACACCCCAACATCGTTTGTTAATGTTAAGAATTAATTAAAATTGTATACCATATCGATATCCATAAACTAAGTTTATTTATATCTAAAAAAATAGCATGTCCTGTATATCATTACCAAGTATCGCTATTACATGTTCGGTGGTCACTAATTCGTGTCCATTTCATTCATATTAATCACTAATACGAGTTCATTGGTCATGAAAGTATTTCCATAAAATATATTATTATGTCCGAGATCGATGCTCGCGTAAAGATTAGTGCCGGAGTCCGGATGTCAATCCGGAAGTCCGGATAAGACTTCCGTATCCATTCGGATATCCGTTCTGTATGAGCAAAATTTGGCATCGAATATCCGTACCATCCTCGGATAGATCATTAGTGAGCACATACGTTTTAGAGTGACGATCATAGATTTATTTTCTATAAATAGAGGCTAGAGTTTTTAAATTGATTACTAAGAAATTTTGTAACTTAAAAAATCATGTGCCGCATATAACCTGGCTTTAGATAATCCCTACAAATATTTTTTTATCGTATCTTTGGTGACTATTACTTTACAGGAAAATCTATTTCCGACAATAATTCTCTTTATTGATTGAAATTTATAAGCCGAAATTGTCGAGTTTATTTTGCTGCATTATATTAACTTTATAAGTTAGCATCTTTTTAAGAAACAAATTGCAAATATTATTATTTTTTCACGTTAGAACATGATAGGTTATAGAATTCATTGTTAGGACGATAAATATGTCTTCAATGTGATTGCTAGTAAAGTTAAGCATATCTGTTATATTCTATTAACAAAGTTATACATAGCTATGTAGCAGCATTTTTTTCTTTTTTTTTTGAAAAATAATAAAATTAGGTATTACGGAAATTTAAAACTTTAAAGGGTCTTAATGTATCGCCAGTCTATGTGGAGTTTGAAGTTTTGCTTACAAATCATGGTTTGTAACCACAATTTGAAACTCCGCACATAGAACTATTGGACTAGCTACGGCGATAAATTATAAAACCCTACTTAGAAAGCCTTTTTTAATCTCTAATTATTTCTCGTGAGAATGGTGGATGGATTGACATAAATTTGTGCCATAAAAAGAAATCTGATTTTGTATTTAAACTAAGTGCGTAAGTATAAAAATTTAGTTTAGGGTATTAGCATTAAGTACTATAGAGATAAATTGTTGCTTACTATATGTAAAATTTCGTTATCATTTTTAATTAGTGCACAAAGATAGGGTTAAACATTAATTTGAGTTAAAACCAGGATGACACATAGCAAATCTTGGCGTTACAATTATCGGCTTAGTTTAAAAAGCAGTTAAATTTTGCGAGTTGGATAATCTATTTTACCATATTCAATGATGAGCACATAATACGCAGCACACGATTTAAACACAAAATCACGCACATCGTGTGCATAAAGTATTTTCCCTGTTGATGCCTGTAATTCAGTTGATAATTACCTTTTCAAACAGGTAAAAGGATTGTTTTATCTTATTGTTCCTAATGCGGTTTATTTTTTATCAATTTATCTCTCATCGAGGGAGTGTTATTAAATCAATGAAATACAAATATGCCAATTCTGTCCCTTCAGTTTTCGCGCAATACGCACTAACAGTGCAGAGTTTGGGAGTATCAATCGAGCTATGCTAGATAATTTTTTAAATGCTATCGTCTATCCTGGAGGGTGGAATGAAAAAAAAACAGACAATTCTATCTGGAAAAAACCCTTAACCCCTCTTTGATTACCACGTTAACAGGCTAGACAAGGTGCTATGTGCACAAAGGCAAGAAAACTTCTTCGTGACCGTCATACTTCTACTTCAAAACCAAGTCATCCAACAGGTCACTACTCATCTAAAATCAACTTAGTGATGATTATACTAGAATATCCTCTAAATACTACTGTCATTGTACAGAGTGGGATGAAAAATTAGACAATTCTATTTAGAAAAAACCCTTAGTCTTTCATAACAAACCTGGACAAGGTACTATGTATACGATACAAGAAAATTCTTCGTGACTGTCGTTCCACAGGCCACTTCTATTTCAAAAACCAAAATTATGCCTGTTATCTGAAAAGCCATGATTCATCTAAAACCGACTAAACAATGACTATACTAGTTTACCCTCTAAATGCTACTGTCTATCGTACAGGGTGGGATGAAAAACCAGACAATTCTATCTGGAAAGAATCCTTAACATTTTTCTAACAATCTAGACAAGGTGCTATATGCAATGCAAGAATTTCTTGTAACTGTTATCCTGACAGGCCACTTTTACACAAAAATCAAAGCCCCGATTCACACAAATGCAAGAAAATTTCTTTATGTCTATCATCCCAAAATGCCACTTCTACTTCAAGACAAATCATGACTGTCATCCAACAGACTATAATTCATCCCAAAACAACCAATGATTATCTTATAAATGCTACTGTCTATCGTACAAGATGGGATGAAAAAACACTAGACAATTTTATCTGTAAAAAACCTTAACCTCTTCTAACAATTCTAAACAAG